CCCGATCCGAGAAAAATGGCACTATCGGAGCCGATACCCGATATGAATATCGGATCGGCGCATCCCTAGTTAAAATCGGAATATTGTTGTCCATGTAAATATACTCCCATCTTTCTGATTACACACTCATTCTAATTATTCTAAATTCTATAGGTCTGAACGCTTTGAACTTCCTCATGCCAGCGGGACACACACAGGGTGACGTGCCAGCTGTAGCTATGCCGTATTTTTTGGTGCATTCGCCACTCATAGCGGGTGCAACGCCCACCTCTGGCACAGAGGGGGCTGCCAGCAGTGGTCTGAGTTTCAGCGTGCCCACCGTGTTGTCACAGGCTCATTTTGTGATGGCAGGAGGAGCGTTTGGTGTGGCCGAAACACTGAACAGCCCTGAGCATCATGGGCACAGATTACCAGCAGCCACACTCTCGCCACAGGGACCACAAGCACAAGAAAGCCCTCAGCCAGCGCAAACACAGGTCAGTTTACTGCATACTGCTCTTTAGTGATGCACTGAATTTCCGGTTTCAGCCTGCAACAGGTAAAAATGTTAATTCCTCGCTTTTAATGGCTGGATGAACTGAGATCTTTTAGTCTGTCGTTTCCCAGTTAACGTTCTCAGAATGTTCTGGCAAGGTTCTCTCAAAGTTACTTTAACAGAACCTTCAAAGTTATCTGGTCTTTAATAATATTCTCAAAATATTAGCACAAAATGTTATTGGGAATGTTTTTTAGTTGGATGTTTATCTACCGTTTTTTTTAAATGTAACTACTTGTTTTAGAATGTTCAGAGAACATACAAAAGTAACATTATAAAACGGATAGTTCCGGTCCTTGATTCTGATTGGCTGAGCCACGTTCAAAGCTGTTGTATATTACTCTACAAACATACACCTTTGTTTACATTTGTGTGTTGCTTGGCAGCCTTTGTTGCAACCACAACCGATTCTGAGGAACTACATTGTTTGGCGGAAGAATAATGTTTTTATTAATATCATTACACTTTATTTGCTCTGTTTTATTTTGTGAAACCTTACTACGTATATGGAATAACCATTTTATAAAAGCAATAAGCCCCAAGAAGCCATGGTTTACAGTGAATTTATAACAGCTAAAGAGTGTTGTTAGGCACGACATGAAGCGGATGTTATGTTATGTTCCCTTAACATTCTCATTCGCAACCAGGGAAAAAAAAACATTTTTAACATTTAAAAAAAGCACTTTGAATGTTTAGAGAACATTCAGAACTAACGTTTTTATAACTTAATGGAAATGTTAGCAAAAGTTCTTCGAAAATGTTTTTGCAAGTTTCATTTCAGTTGATGCAAGAACAAAACTTCACTAAAAATTATTTGTAGCACACCTGACAACTAATAATCGCAATTATTTTATATGAAACAAAATCTCAGCTTTTAAATTTTGCAAGTTATTTATCGACATTCAAACAATAAATGTGATTTTGACGCACTTTAATGTGGCATGACCGATCACTGTAGCACCTCATTTCGAGCAGCACATATACCGATCATCTCTTCCTCTTTAACTACTAGTTAAGCACAAAATAAACATGGATGAGCATCAGGTGTTCAAAGAAACAAAATAACTTACTGAAATTATTAATGTCTCACATAATCGCTCAATCAGTTTCAAACGCTGAAAGATGCTGGTAAAACAGCCTCTAAACAATGCTTTACTTCAAAGTCCATAACTCAATAGTTAGGAAAAAATAATTCTACAGAGGAGGATTTTGATAAACATGCACTATATTACATATTCATTATACTTAACCTGTCGTGTTCATTATTTGATGTAAGTTTGAATAAATCTATCTTGAAAACAAGTTTTAATTACAGCCACAGTTGAAATTATTATATCTGAACAACGAATTGGAGTAGAAACATAATTATATCATTAAAAAGTTGATATTAAACTGCCTTTTGTGCAATTTAAATTTAGTGTTGATTATTAAATAAATATAATCAAATAATTTGATTGAATCATTATCAAATCAACTTTATTTTCAGTTTTTGGCTAAATGAAAACTTTAATCATTTTGGTGCATCATTACTGTTTAAAAAAGATAATAATAATATTGTCATGTGTATGTTCCTGTTTAGTTCCTGTTTTCCTTATTTGGTCCTTCCTGTTCCTGTCCTCATTGTATGAATTTGGTTCCAGCTGTGTTTGTTTAATTAGTTAATTTGCTCCCAGGTGTGTCCCATTGGTGTCTGTATTTATAGTGAGTCCCGTTCTGAGTTTCTTTGTCCGAAATTGTTTATGTCCCCTCCTTGTGCTGCGTGTGATTCCCTGAAGAAGAATATTAAACTCCTTTGTTTTATACTCCTGGTCTCCTCGTTCCTCGCTCCTCACAGTAGCAACCTGTGACAAATACGCAATGACAAACATGTGAAATGGTAGTACATTTTATATAGTGTTTCTGACCTTCTCACTTCTGCTATTTCAGACTCCTGTGACACCAAAGGAAGCGGCAGTGGGGTCCAAATCTTTCTTCGAGACGCCTGGAGCTTTTGGGTCTCTCAGCACACCACCGGCGGCACACAAAAGAGGCTCTGCCCAGAGGAGGCTGAACATCGGACACGCCTCAGCCAATTAAACTAGCCGCTGCATTTGTGTCATTATGTTTTCATGCTTCTGTGGTGCTACAGTGCCAAAGACAGAAACAGCATTACACCGCAAAATTTGACTTGAAATAATTCTCATAAAATTAACATTTCCTGTTTAGTAACTAGTGAACATCAGAATAAGAGGGCAGATACTAGTGTGAGAGGCTAAAATCAACAATCCAGCTTTAGCACTACGTATTTAAAAATAAAAATTAACGTAGTCTGGATTGGCTTCTGAGAAAAAAACTACACAGATCTGCTCTATAGTATGTTCACTATCTCACAGGTAAACAGTTTGTAGAAGTGCCATATTGGTGAAGCCGACATGCCTTAGAAATGTATTTGGTACGTGATGCCTTCACCACAGAGAATGAATGAATTCTGAGTGTATTTGGGATAAAGAACAAAATAATGGTTGTAATTTTTGACACTGTTAAAGTTTGAGGTGCTACAGCTGTGAAACGAATAGGAAACAAAGACATACTTGAATGACCAGTGAATATGATCTGCAGTCACTGGAGCAAAGCAGAAATATCACAGTACTGTACTGTTTTGAAACAAAGTATGTTTATGTTTGAACTGTTCTTAGACTAGTAATAAATTATTTTTGGAAACATCTGGATTGAATTTTGCACCACAATCCATAGAGCTGTACGGTATTTACAGGTATTTTACTGTACTGTAACTCGTAGCATTGAATATTTTGTATACATGTTATTTTTTTTGTATCTGTCAGTGTTTAAATGTCTTTGTTGGATGTTTAAAGCTGCACTGCTGAATCTGTATGGTGCTTTTGTGTTTGTCAGATGTATTTTCAATCATTTTATGTATGGACACATGTCATACATGTAATACAAAATAAATATATGTAATATTGTTTGTTAAATCTTGCATTTATTCTCTTACCCATTTCATATGGGTATGAGCACTGTGCAAAAGGGCTTAATTTTGTGCGAACACAAGATGGCAGCATATACAAAATGAATGATGTGCAAGACATTTTCCATGATCCTCAGAAACAAAGGGGAAAATATTAATTTGTCCTCTGAGTGTGATATTAAAACAAATTATTTATCAGTGCATCTGTATTTAAACACATGGAACCATGACATCCCATTAACTTGCTAATAATTGTCTTTAAAGAGATTAAAACAACTAATTTTTTTACCTTGAAATATCAGTTTCAGCATGGTATAAACTTCTGTTAGCTTCTTAGAGAATTTCTGTTTCTTTGTCCAAACGTCTGTTCTGGGACTTTGGTGTTTGGTGAACGAAATTCCGCAAAAAGGGCGGTTGCTTTACGGCAGGGGTTGCAAAGTCGCAAAAATAGACAAAAGTGCATACAGTTGCATTACAATAAACCCAAAATAAACACTGCTATAGTAAATGTTGCGCCATATTTATTTTTTAAGGCTGACGAAACGTCGTTTCGAGCAAAATTGTAAAGATTAAATTTCTCCTAGGCTTCTAAACTATTGTGTGCCGTTTTTTTGTTTTGTTTTGTTTTTTTGCATTCAAGAATTACACTTAACTTTAATTCCTATGGTTATAAAAGTTTATTCAAATTACTGCGTGTGAGCATTAATAACAGTGAGCAGGCCTCAGCGAAGACCCCTAATTAGAAGTGTGTGTGGTCTGTATTATAGTTTTGTATAATTATCTAATCTAGATGAACACAGTATTATGCTTGGCGGCATGTCAATGTTCATTAATGCTGTTTACACACAAATACACCTGGCAACCCATTTTAGAATCACAATAAACCCTTTATGAAGGGCAATAACCTGCATTTCGCCATTTTGTTCACTTTTGCACGTTTGCATTTTGCCAAACCTCAGAAAAGACTGAGTTCTCAAAAATAATCATGTCTGAGACCAAAATATGACACAAAATGAACAAAACATTGATAGATAAATACCGTAGACTCTGTAAATGTGGCACAAGACAGACTGAATGAGCTGTCAAACAGCTGATGACATCCCAGAAGCTCTTTCATGGGTAAGAGAGCTCACAGCAGAAACAGACACATGCACGGAAACCTAAATAAGCAAATCTTATGTTTTAATTTCTCAAACGCGTGCTATTCCTTAGCCTGAGTCCAGTTTTACCATGAAAGGAGGACAGACAGAATGCTACATCTGTTTTTCATTCCCTCTTGCTTTCCAATCTTGTGCCTTTCATTATAAATTCCTTCTTTTGGTGTTATGTGCATTCCAGATGAAGGCCTGGATGAAGAAACTGGAAGAAATGACAGCGTACTTCTGCGCTGCTGTATTATCCACATAAAACAGCAAAATGTGTTTTAAAATATGAAATTATGCAATGTGCACAGTACTTTTTTTCCTGTTGTTTTTTTTTTTTCATTTGAACCTAACAAACTTCTTTTTCAGAAATGTTCTGCTTGAAAAGTGTGCAAATAAACACTTGACTTAGTATTCTATGTTTACAGTGACATTCAATGTCCAACTACTTTCTGGGGTCAATGTTGGTCAACTGTATTGATGTCAAAGTGTATCAGCTCCCAAAATGACAAGTGATGCATGCTGGGTAATTACAGGAGCTGATTTATGAGTCGTTCATCATGCAGCTCTCCCATACACAGTCCTTTTACCACCACACCACACACATCGCAGAATGAAATTGTCCTCAATGCTCAATTAATTAGTATAATTAATGATACCTGTCTGTGTGTTATGGCGGAAACGTCAACATTATTCATATCAAATGTGCACTGGATGCAATATTATGGACAATATTTCCAGAAATGAAATTAAACTTTCAAAACCTCCAGTTTTTTAAATGTGTTAAAAAATGTGTTTTCTTGCTTAGCCTATATACAAACATTAAGGGAACATTCCATTTGATAATTTTGCAAACATTATGGGAATGTTACATTTGAATGTTCTCTGAACATTCTGAAACATTTAGTAACATTTGAAAAATGATGAACAAACGTCCAATTAAAATGTTGCAGAAAACGTTCCATTGATGATGTATAAATAACATTTTTGTGCTAACGTTTTAAAAGCATTATTAAAAACCAAATAACTTTGAACGAACGTTCTATTGATGCTACTGGAAGAACGTTTGTCCATAACATTGCCAGAACGCTAGTCAAAGTTCTGAGAATGTTCCCTGTTAGCTGGGTTTCCTTCTTTCTTTCCCCCAAAAAAAACTAAACAATTCATATAGCCTATAGCCTACTTGGAAGTCATGCACATTTTCCATTCTTAGACACCGTAAATAGATAGGTACGTCACCGTACGTGGCATGTAAATACTTTTAATAGGCCAGAAATAATATTTTTCTTTAAAATAATTATTAATTTTCATGGCGTTCACTAACAAAACATGTTCTTGGCAAACGATTCTCTTGATGAAATGATTCTTACCACATCTATTTAAAATGGCAAGCATTACAGCTCATTAATCTTCTTCAGGTGTGTCTGATAATTATAATTACACATTACAGACAGGACCAATCAAGAATGAAGCAATAAACTCCCAACAAAGCCTCGTTTTAAAAGGGTTTAATATAAGAAGCATCTCAGTCAGTGTTTATGTTTCCACTGCACAACGAAAATATATGACAGTTTTATGTTCTTAGACCACATGTACATACATGAATAAATCATTTAAGACTTTAAAAGTTCTGCTAAATGACTAAATAAATAAAAAGTTCAAGTGCAGCATACATTTATGAATCAGCCCACTACCATGACGACACTATAAAGTGCGTCAAGTTCATGAAGTTGTGTGTGTGAGAGTGTGTGTGTGTGTG